GGATGGCAGCTTTCACACAAATTGTAAAGGGAAATTGGGGAATTCAGTAACTCATTATAGTGTGTAAATGTAGATTATTCTCAAGTTTATGGTCAGATTGTTGGTTTGGGACCCTAGCAATTTGTAACAGTCATGCTTTTTTCAAGTCTCAATTTCTCATGGACACCATATAACTACTTTTCGAAAAGGAATTTCTATGCCTACATGATACCATGTGATGGATTTTTGGATGAAGAAGATTAAAGAACAAGAACTCAAATTATGAAAATATAGGTATGGATATATGCTTACATGATACTATGTGATGGATTTTTGGATGGAGAAGGTTAAAGAACAAGAACTTAGATTATGAAAATATAGGTTTGGATTTTCATTTTTTTGACCTTTCTTTCTTTCATTTCTTCTTGTTGTAATTCCTCACACAAGTGCAACTTAAATAAGAAGGGGAATTACATTTGGTTAAATGCCAATTTTGTTTCTCTAACTTTAAGGTTTTGTACAATTTTAGTCCTTTAACTATTTTTTACACTTTTTAGTCCCTTAACTCCAAAACTTGCACAATTTTGGTCATTTCATCAGTTAAGTCACACTTAGTTGTTAAAATATTTTGGAACGGCACCCTTTTTATGATGCGTAATAACACACCATATAATTAGCTTACATGTACAAAAATATATATATATCAAGCCAAATGCTAGAGCATTCATTAAACAATTTACAAATTTTAAAAAACAAAAATGCAATTCTACCCCCACTTTCATCCACTTTGTGGTTCTCCTTCCTCTCTCATTATTCATCTTCCTTTCTCCTCTACCATTGTCTATCTCTTCCTCCTTATCCTTTCTTTAGCCATTTACCTCCCTTTTCTTTTCCCAATCGTTTGATTCTCTGTTTGAAAATCCAAAATCACCAGATTTGAAAAAAAAAAAAAAAACCATTTTTGGTTTCAATGAACAAGATTTGGGTTCAAAAAACCCATATTTAGGTGACATGAACCCAACTTCTTTTGAGGATTTTGCTATTGTTTTTGATAGATTTTGATTGTCATTTCATCTTCAATGATTATGTGTGTTTTTCATGGTGTTTGTGCAGTTAATTCAAAAGATGCATTATGTATTTTCAAGTAATTATATAGAGGGAAATGGATGGAGGAAGGAAGGAAAGAAGAAGAAAGATAGAAAGACAGAATGTTAGAGCACTAAATGAAGGAGGATGGAAGAGGTGAACCTAGATCATTTGAGTTTGCAAGAACCCTTTGCTAGGTTCATAAGAGCCCTTTGTTGGGTTCGTAAAAGCCCTCATTTGGTTCCTCACAAACCCAGATCTAGGTTTGCGAGAACCCTCATTGGGTTCCTTATGAATTGAAGGTTCTTGTAAACCTAGATCTAGGTTCGGGAGGAACCCAAATAAGATTTGGGTTCACAATGAAGCTAGATCATTTGGGTTCACAACAAATTCACTGTTGGGTTCCTCACAAACCCAACTACGGCCAAGGAAGGGGGAAGGGGAAGAGAGGTAGGGGAGAAGAGAAACAATGATGAAGAGAGAGGAATGATGGTGGTGGCAAAGAGAATAGGGAGAGAAATGACTGAGGAGAATGATGGCAAGAAGAATAAATTAAGGGCATTTTAATAATTTTATATTTAAAAAATTGAAACGAATTAAAAATGACAATTAAATTTGATGTGGCATTGTCCACCTAAACTAATTGTATGATTGGTCATTAATATGTCATCACAAGAAATAAGGCAATGCCGTGTGGACTGAGTTACACTACAAGAAAAATGATTTTTAGTGACAGAAATTTGTGATGAATTTTGAAATCATCACCATAACTTATCACAATTGTGATAGATCTAAAAAATTAGTCACAAATGCATACATATTTAATGATGAACAAAAAAATTCATCATAAAAAATATATTTCGGTACCGAAAAACATTCATAGAGATAAAATAAGTTTTCGTCGATAAAAATCATCACTATAATGCATTACAATTATGACAAAATTCTAATATTGGTCACCTATATCTTACACATTCAATGATGACCAAATAATTTAGTATTAAAAAATATATTTCGTCACTAAAAATTGTCAATTTTCTCTAATCAATACATCCCACATCAATAAAAAACACATAAGAGAATAATGTTTTGCACTATAAATATATCTCACATCGACAAAAAATATTTAAGAAAATAAATTTTTGCATTATAAAATATGTGAAACTCAATAAAACTTGAAATTAGTTTGGGTCTGATTAATTTTAATTGAGCTTGATTAATTTTAATCGGGCTTGATTAATTTTAATCAAGTTTGATTAATTTTAATCAAAATTGATTAGTATTGAAATAATAATATTTTTTATTAAACTTTTGTGATAAATTTATATATTATTTTTTTGACAAAATTTTTGTTAAAATATTTGTGTTGTAATTATATAAATATCGTTTTTATTTAATATCAATTTTAATAATTAATAACTAAATTTTGCATCATAATTGCATTTGTGACGAATATTTTTTTGTGCCGAATAAAATTGTTATAAATAACTTGTTAACAATGTCAATTTTTTGTATCACTATAAAATTATTTTTTGTGACGGGTGTTTAATTTGTCATTAAGAGCATTAATGATAGGGGTTTTATTAACGGTTTAAATTTTATCACTAATAATAATTTGTGACAAAAAATAAAGATTTAATGATCAATAATTTAGTCACTAAATATGAATTTTCTTGTAGTGTTAACGGTCCTAATTGATGGAGGGACTGAAATTATGCAGTTTTTAAAGTTAAAAGACCAAAAAAGTGCAAAAAAATAGTTGAGGGATGAAAATTATGCAAAATTATAAAGTTAAGAGACCAAAATTGATATTTAACCATTACATTTAATGCATGTTTTTTTCTTCGGAGAGTTGACATATCTACACAATTTTCTTCCAAGTGGATTCTGTAATCTAAGCATCATATCTCAACTCCCAACCAACTATTAAAGACACCTATCACATTAAGAGTTCTCCTTGCCATATGTTTGGAAACGTGAATAAAGAATGGCTAAATGAATGATGGCTAAGAAAGATATTTCAACCTCTTACTCTAAACCTACAAAATATTCATATTCTAGTAAATGTGTTCTGTCTGGTGTTGAATCAACAAGTGTATATATCATCATTGAAATAATTGGAGGAAACTTTAATGAAATGAGTGAACAGAAATTTGCCACGTCAGAGCGTACTAGGACTCAAGGGGGGCTATATATACACGCCCATTCATGTGGCAATTAAGTGGCGGCGTTTTCATCGTTAATTACACTCAAATCTTGAATTGAATTTAATTATGTTAGAGGTAAGATAAAGGGATAAAATCGGTCCCCTTCAATAACTTACAGCTGCCCAACGGGTTTATTAAGTGAGTAAAAACTTGATACTTCAATTTAAATATCTCAAATCCTAAAATGAGCAGAGAGAAATTAAAAGAAAAGAAATATGTTTTATTGTATATTTCATTATTTCATATAAAAAAATAATTACAACTAGTTTAATTTGAAGGGAGCGATAGATAGGGGAATAAAATTCCCTATTTAAATAAAAAAAAAATACACCATTAATGCTGAACCTTTACAAAGAAGGAATTTTGTGTAAATTTCTTAATACTTACTTATGTGTAAGTGGATTCCTACTCATTTTAAATATATTGATTTATTATAAA